TAGGCACAGCATAAAAATTCAAAGTTTGAAAAAACTGGAATGGCTGTGTCCCAAATGTGCCCCTCCGATGTCCACACATACCTGGCAAAGGTACATACGGGGGTATTGCTGTACTCAGCCGACATAGCTGAGCAACATATGAAGTATTATACGGTCGTAGCACACATAAGGTTTGCAAAATATACTGTGCAAACTCACTTTGTATGTCAAAAAGGCAGAAACGCTTATTACCACTACATCTGGTACAAGCTAGCGGAAAAATGATCCCACGCTAAGGTTCAAACTATACCTTTTGAAACACCCTGGGGTGTCTACTTTAAGAAATGGTAGGCCTTTGTGGGGTAGATTGAATTTGAAACCTGCGAAGATGCTTGGAAATTGCACATAGGCCCAGCGTCAAAATTCAAAGTTTGGTAAAACGGATATGGCTTGGTCTCCTATATGGCACTGTAGCTTCACGAAATAGTGCCAAAGACATTCATATGGGGTGTCATTTTACTCAGAAGACTTAGCTGAGCATAATTTGGGGAGTTTGAACTTAGTGGCACATATGAAATATACAAAACGCCCAGCAAAAATGCAATCCGTATGTAAAAAATACACAAAATTATTTTTACCACATACTTTGGCATATATTGGTGAAAAAATGGGGGTATGTTAAGGCACAATATGCACCTTATGAGATACCCTGGAGTGTCTACTTTTACAAATGGTAGGCCTTTGTGGTTTTTTTTTGAACAGTCAAACTGTTATAATACCCCAAATGGAAGCTAAGGCTCATTAAATCCATCTCTCAAAATTCTACTGTGAATACTGTAAAGGACAGGTCTCCTATATGGCACTGTAGCTTCACGAAATAGTGCCAAAGACATTCATATGGGGTGTCATTTTACTCAGAAGACTTAGCTGAGCATAATTTGGGGGGTTTGAACTTAGTGGCACATATGAAATATACAAAACGCCCAGCAAAAATGCAATCCGTATGTAAAAAATGCACAAAATTATTTTTTACCACATACTTTGGCATATATTGGTGAAAAAATGGGGGTATGTTAAGGCACAATATGCACCTTATGAGATACCCTGGAGTGTCTACTTTTACAAATGGTAGGCCTTTGTGGGGGTTTTTTGAACAGCCAAACTGTTATAATACCCCAAAATGGAAGCTAAGGCTCATTAAATCCATCTCTCAAAATTCTACTGTGAATACTGAAAAGGACAGGTATCCTGTATGGCACTGTAACTTCACGAAATAGTGCAAAAGACATACAATGGGGGTGTCATTTTACTCAGCAGATATAACTGAACACAAAATAAAACTTTGTACAGGAATAGCACACACCAACTTTACAAAATATACACGAGAATTTCTCTGTTATAAGTTTGTGTGCCAAAAACCAAAAAGAACACAATTTTACTCCAATATTTAGCAGAGGTTGGCGGTAATATGGCTACGTAGAAAGTGTCAAAACAACCTTAGGTAAATAGCCCGTGATGTCTACTTTATATAAATATATACTTTTGTGTGGCAATTTTGTTTTCTTTTATGGCTATTAAGCTTACAAGACAAACATACCAAATTCTAAAATCGCTCCACATTAAAGTTTATTTTACTCCTTGTGCTTTGTGACCTGTAACTACCAAAAAAACTTAAAATCCCAGACACATTATATATTCTGTAAATCAGAACAAATAAATAAATTTATTTTTAATTACTTTCCTTAACCTGCACTAATTATGCACACATTATTATTGCAAAAACTGTAAAAAAAAAACAATGTTTTTCATTTTTTTTGAATTTTTCTGTATTTTTTTTATAATAAGTAAGCATTTATATATATATATATATGTTATATCAAATTAAAGCCCTTTCTGTCCTTTAAAAAACAGTATATAATATGTGTCGGTGCAATAAATGAGAGAGATGCAAATTGCAGTTGAACGCAAACAGCAAGAAAATGCAAAAATTGCTTGTGTCATTAAGCGTAAGTCAAGCTTCTGAAGCTGTGTCCTTAAGGGGTTAAATTGGACTTTATTTTTATTTGTGCGTGCAGCTTTTTTTATTGTTTCTATTTTTCTGTTTCCTATATCGATTACCTTATTATGTGCCTACAGTAAATGGAAACTTAGTTTTTGCACCAACATTATGTTATTGGTAACTGAATACAATGCATATATTCCCATACTTGGCTGTCTTAGTTTACAGCTTGGGTTTCAATTTTCTTATTGAGTGTTTTGGGTTTTCTGTGCTTTTGTGTTAAAACAAGCAATAACGTATGTCACCGTTTTCACAACTAAATAATATCACATGCTACATGTTTGTGGCAGTTTTCATATGACCAGCTCAGGCTGTTATATGTTTCCTTTGCCCTGCATCGGAACAAAGGAACCCATTCTAAGCACCCATTCTAAGATATAATGCTGAGATGCAGTTTGGGTACTATTTAATCTGTACTACACTGGGATTTTTGCAACACGGATACCCCAGTGACCAGTGCCTGCAGGGCGTTTGGGAGACTGCCAGAATTCCAATTTTAGTGCTCTTAGCACAGTTCCTCACTTCCATGAAGATTTAGTATATCGAGGGGTTGTGCACCTATTACCCCCAAGATTCTATATATATATAAAGGGGGCTCTACCCACGCAAATTGGTGCCCTGCTGCTGGCAGAACACAACTGTGCCCCATTGATTGGCCTCCTATGTTGGTGCTCCATTGATTGGCCGGCTATGTCTGTGCCCCATTGATCAGGCTGCTATGTCTGTGCTCCATTGATCGGCCTGCTCTGTCTGTGCCATTTGTTTGGCCGGCTCCGTTGGTGCCCTATCGATAGGCCGACGTTAGTCTGTGCCCGAACCCCCTTTTGGCCGCAGGCCTGGGGGAATATTACTGTGGAAAACCCAGTACCCACTATTGGCACGGCTGCCATATTCCCTGAGGTGACACCGGTGTACATGCACATAAATATGATTGGAAGAGTGAAGGCCCTAACCCTCACGCCCTGAGGGGCAAGGCTTCTACTAAGATTGTTCTTTGTTTTCTTGTCTCCCCATATGCTATCGCTCGGGTCGTCGAGAGGCCTGACTGGGCCTTCCACGACTTCCCGGACTCTTGTGGATCCCGGAGAACGTCTCCAGCGTTTCCCCAGGCTATCGGCGGTCATCCTGGATCCAGCGTTGGTAGATTCTATCACTCTTTTCAGGAGTTAAATTCTCTCCGCATCCCCTTTCGGTTGTTGAGAATGGGCACGGCCCAAAGTTAAATACTGCTCCATCTACCATCGGTCTGGTTTATTCCCAGTTGATCGCACCTCTCCGGGAGTGATTCAGACAAAGATCTCGTGGTCAGAGGGACACTTCTCAGGACCTCAGTCCTACGCTGATATTATTAAGGGTGAACCTCTGCATTCGCCCAGCCTGAGTCTGATATGGACTCTAGTTTGGATTACAAGAGGGTGTGACCCTCCATCACCTCGGCCCGAGACTGATATTTTTATTTACACGAGTAGAGAGCGATCTTCTCTCATATACTAAACCGGACACTGATTCTTTATTAGAGGGCGTGGCCCTCCCCCAACCTCAGCCCGATACTGAGATGGATACAGAGGACATGTTTTGAGTGCGACCCACTCTCATAGAAAGACCCGGACACGGAGTTAGACTCTAATTTTTGTTATTAACAGGTACGGCCCGCTCATACTATCAGCCGGATGCTGACAAGGAGTTTGGTTACATTATTAGAGAGTGCAGCTCTCTCATACACTCAACGCACTAGGGTGCCGTCCATTGGTTCATCACACAGGCTTGTACCTGTACAGGACAACGATGACTGCATAGAGGGGCAGCCCTCCTACATTCAATTCAATATGGAGGTGCGTACCTCATATGAAGTTTACCGCGGATGCTTCAGCTTTTGTACATGGGTATAGTACCTCACTGGTATGCAAGGGGGACGATACTTCATAACGACTGGGCAAGGGGAGAGAACCCCTCCATTAGATCTAATGACCGTGCTACCGATTTCATTATAGAGGGCTGCCTGATCGTGCAAGTAATACATGTTTTAGACTGGATTCCTCTATTTCACCTCCTAGAATGGATCTACTGGATCCGGGCCACTGTATCCCACGCAAGAAATACTCACAGAAGTATTACTGGGGGAGATTCCCTGCTTATTTACACACGCCCCAGAGACTTTATGGGACAGTATAAGGGCTGTTTGATCTGACCATCTTGGGTTCAGTTCCCAGGATTGGCTCATTTGTTGGTGACCCTATACTATTCCTATTGTATGTACTCCTGGCGACGGTACGGCTAACGGATGAGCCTCAGTTATTACAACAGTGCAGATTTTGGTATAATCTGAACTATATCAGACAAGGTGGCATGAGATCCTGAGGCCTTCATAGAGCAAACGTGCACTGCCTTGCTCGGGTAACAAGACTGAGGAAGGCCCACAGCTTGTTCTGCAGGTACACCATACGCATGGATAGACCAGAGTCCTCGGTCAACTTGGGTTCCCTGGTCATTAAGAATCTTGGGGTAAGATGGCAGGTCAGCCTCTACTACTCTGAGAAAATATCTGGAGAACATGAAGCGGATATATAGGTCCCTCCTATACTCTAAATCCCTCATGGGAACTGTCTTGGTTTTGGGTTCTCGCTTACCCACCTATTCAACTACCATCAAGGAGACCTACTTGGAGGAACCCTGTGTGTCCCCGGCTCCTACATGGACGTCACAAGTCAGGACACAACCTACCGCTGGAGTACTGCTCAAGATGTTAATAATTAAGAAAAAAATAAGAGGGATGGAACAGCGCTATCCAAACTGATCACAACAGGGAGGGGGTTGTTTACTGCTCAAGATGTGTAGCAGGCTTAGATATGGCTGCCGACGTTCTCAAACTGGACAACACCTGCTTCCGAAGGTTGAAGCTAGACCCTTGTTTTTTTCGCTATATCTGCTCTCTGGCGTCACCTGTCGTGAGTGAAGGGACTTTACATCTCGCCTGCATGTTTGAGAATGCTATGAGTTTGTGGGACTCCAGGCTAAGTAGGGAGGTATTCCTCTATAGGGATACCTTGACTTCGGTTCTTGAATTCACATCCCTGGGTCCCTTGGCCTAAGGCCTACTCTTGGAGATACGTGCCCGGACAGTCAGGGGCACAGGGACCTGAAGGTCCCAATATATTATACCCTATCTTGAATGTGGCGTGCAGACTGTTGTGGAAATAAGGTCTGCACATATTTCCAAACTAATGAAAATGTCTATTTACTCATTTCACTATACTTCACTATATACAATATACAAGCTAAGCACACATGTTTTAATCAAAATGGCTGCTAGAAGCTTCTAACCCCTCCTCCCCTCCCTCTCCCTTTTTAACACCAACTAACTACCTCGTGTAGCAAGATGGCACCGGGAAACCGTGGGAGACCCTCATGGCCCCGGTGACATCACCTTCAGTAGGCAGAGCATTAGAGCAACCACTTAACACCTAACCAATTATTGAGGTATTATTCCATGTTATCTCTGACAATGCTTATGATGTAATTTTGCTTTAAAAGGGACCTGCCGTCCCCTCTGAATAAACTTTCCTCAAGTTATTCAACAACCTGGAACCTGTGTCTGGTGTGAATTACTTCAGGGAGCGTGCACGCACTGTTTCACTGATTTGGCCAGGGGCAGATACACAAAGAAATAATCAATGTATTGATTGATTTTTCCATTTCAATTGGCGCCCAACGTGGGGCCACCGGAGGGCCGGTTCGGAGGGCCGGAACCAACGGACCGGAGCGGACCTCCGGAAAGTGGGACAAGCGGAGCCTGATCACCTCCATAATACAGCCGTTGCCTGTGTTATTCTCCTGTTTTGTGTCGGTCTGTCTCCGAGTCCACTTCCGGCTTCCAGAAGGCTACTAGAGACAGGTAATTAACTCATCCGGTGTGCCTTTTTAAAGTGAACCTGTCGATTGTCTATCTGCCTCCTGTATTCGTTTAAATGTGTGTGTGTGTGTTTTTCTCCTTTTTAAAAGATGTTAGCTTGACTGCCTAGCGGGCAGGGAACGCATTTTTTATGTTAGCTTGACTGCCTAGCGGGCAGGGAACGCATTTTATATGTTGGCTTGACTGCCTAGCGGGCAGGGAACGCATTTTTTATGTTAGCTTGACTGCCTAGCGGGCAGGGAACGCATTTTATATGTTAGCTTGACTGCCTAGCGGGCAGGGAACGCATTTTATATGTTAGCTTGACTGCCTAGCGGGCAGGGAACGCATTTTATATGTTAGCTTGACTGCCTAGCGGGCAGGGAACGCATTTTTTATGTTAGCTTGACTGCCTAGCGGGCAGGGAACGCATTTTATATGTTAGCTTGACTGCCTAGCGGCAGGGAATGCATTTTATATGTTAGCTTGACTGCCTAGCGGGCAGGGAACGCATTACAGCCGGTGGGGCTGGGATTTTATGTTAGCTTGACTGCCTAGCGGGCAGGGAACGCATTACAGCCGGTGGGGCTGGGATTTTATGTTAACTTGACTGCCTAGCGGGCAGGGAACGCATTACAGCCGGTGGGGCTGGGATTTTGTTTGATTATTGCAGTGTTTCATTGGTACTTGTGTTATACCGGGACCAGCCTGGTGGGTGACGGCTGGGGATTGCTACATTTTGAATATCTGGCACCAGTGGTGTTAACATGTACATGGCCATTTTACTTTCTGTCATTCTGTGGTTTTTGTTTAATTGTTGTTACAGTGTGGGTACCCTTGGTGTGTGTGTGTGTATTGTGTGGTTAGTTCTGGATTCCGGAGTTTACGCTCATTTATATGTTTGTGACTTTTGCAAATGTCTTCTCATTAGCGCAGCCACGTTCATTTTCTCCTTTGTCCTTTATCTCTCCTGTGCCTGTTGCCCAGAGCTGTGTTAGTCACCCACACTCACTCGCTCTCGTCCGTAACCACCACCCCGGGTGGGCGGATCCCCGTGACTGGTCTACGTTTGGGGAAGACGCACGGGGCTCAAGTCCTCGTGGCAGTCGAGCACTGTAGACATTCTTTTTCCTTCTCCCTTGTATCTCCTCTATTTATCTGTCTTTAGCACGTGGCTCGCTCCGATTATTCAAGATGGGGCAGGAACATGCTAGACCTGCTAAGGGCTTGTTGGCTAGTGACATTGTGAAAGAAAGGGCAGGGGAAGATGCAATGTTGAAACTTAGAAAGATTGCTAAGGTGTGTGGCTTCCAAATGTCGCCCAGTGGGAGATAGCCTGAGTTTTGGAGGAAGTTACTCATAGACAAGGAAGGGTTGTTGTCGGATAATGGACTCACAAAGGTTGCAGAGGCTTGGTATCGGGTAGCTAGAGGTCTGAAATGGGAAGGATGGGTCGAGGAAGAGTTGGAGTTTGAGGGGCAAATCGTGTATGTATACCATAGGAGTGTTAACAATGATGATGTTGTTTCCATTGTCCCGCGGCCACCGCCCTATGATGGCGCCCAGAGCGCAACAGTAAATTCCCGCCCTGCTTCCCCCGTCACAGCACAGACCCCACCCCCCGGGGGTGTGCCTTCAGCTCCCACCCCCCTGTGCCCCGTACTCGGTGCAGATGGTGCTTACTCAGTGCCACTTCACTCGTTCCCACCCACTCCCATGCACCAACCCCCCTATGACCCAGCCCCCTCCATCAACCATTCTCCCGTCATGTCTGTTGAAGTTCCCCCACCTCCATGTCCTCCGCTACCTCTCCCAGTGCCTGTTCCTACTCCGAATCCTCGTCAAGATCCCGTCCTAACTACTTCCGCCTCACCCACCGAAGTTCCCTCCTCCTCCTCCTTTCATTCCCTCTCCACCTCGAGTACCCCATCCCTAGCAACACCGGCTCCCTCACCCCCCTCGACTGTTACACACCCAACTCCCCCGACCCTTGTCCATTCCACCGACCCCGTTCCTCCGGACCCCTGTCCCCCCACGGACCCTCCTTCTCCCATACCCCCGGACCCAGACCTTTCCTCTTTCCTCGCTAGCCTTTCGAAAGTGACCTGTCCCGTGACCCCTACCCCTTTACCCTCTCTGCCTTTCTCTCCTTCTCATTCCCCTTTGCCTTCCTCCTCCCTCATCCCTCATCCCTACTCTCCACTCTCATGAATCTTGTCCAGCCCGTTGATCCCGGTCCCCTTGCCTCTGCTCCCTTATGTACCACCACAGTTGGCCCTCCCCCTGCCCCCTCCCCTCCCGTTGATCTTGCAACAATAGTAGCCGCCCTTTCTTTCACACTCCCAACACTCCCAGACACCCCTCCCATCCTCCAGACCCTCCCGCTATCCACACACGTTACCTCCTCCTCCCGAAGTCCCGGCCCCCTCTACCTCGTTGCCTCCTCCTCCCCCGGCCGATTTGCCGTCCCTAATCTCTGCCCTCACCGCCCTGACCCAACCCCCTGTTACCACCCCTCCAACCCCTTCTCCAGTGTTACCTCCTCCCGAAGTCCCGGCCCCCTCTACCTCGTTGCCTCCTCCTCCCTCGGCCGATTTGCCGTCCCTAATCTCTGCCCTCACCGCCCTGACCCAACCCCCTGTTACCACCCCTCCAACCCCTTCTCCAGTGTTACCTCCTCCCGAAGTCCCGGCCCCCTCTACCTCGTTGCCTCCTCCTCCCTCGGCCGATTTGCCGTCCCTAATCTCTGCCCTCACCGCCCTGACCCAACCCCCTGTTACCACCCCTCCAACCCCTTCTCCAGTGTTACCTCCTCCCGAAGCCCCGGCCCCCTCTACCTCGTTGCCTCCTCCTCCCCCGACTGGTTTGCCGTCCCAACCCTCCACCCACGTTGTTACGACACAGCCCCCTGTTCCCATCCCCCGACCCCTCCCCCGGTGACCCCTGACCCATCCATGGCCAATGACCTGTCTAGCTCGATATCCGCCCTCTTCTCTGCTGTTACCTCCCTGGTTAATTCCGCGATCCCTGTGCCGCCTCCCACTGATTTACCACCCCCTCCTCCACCTCCTCCCCCCGAACCTCCGACCCCTTCCTTGTCTCCCGCTAACATCCCCGAGCCTTCCGATCCAATCTCTGCTCTTGCTCATGTCCTAAACACTCACCTCTCACGCCCATCTCAACCGGCCCCCATAGCAGCCCCTTCCACGGCATTGATTCCTCATGTCCCTTCCGCCAGTCCTAGTTATCCAATCATGGTGGTTGGGTCCGAGGTGTCTGTGACATCGGACCAACCCTATGCAATGGGTGCTTCCCCCAGGCCTCGGGTTTCCACCCAACTACCTCTCCCATCACCGGCCTCCCTGCCGCCCCCGCCACAGCTACCCCTGAGACTACTCTTCACCGCGGCCCGGTGGCACCCGAGGAGGTCGTTGTGGTGGACCAGGGCTCACCTCGCCTAGGGGGGAACAGGCTCCCCCAACGGCACTCTATCCCCCAGGGTTATACCCAGATTAACCATGGAGCGGATGGTGCACCACCCATGTATGTTACCTTCAACCCTTCCCAAGCTGCTACCCTTGTGACCTCACTCCCTGATCCTGAGAAACACCCCATGCCCTTTTTCCGCAGGATGGCCCAGATCCGTAAAACATACTCCGCTGCTTGGCGGGATCTTATTAGTTTGTGTGAAATAAAGGCTGGAGATGCATACTGGCCAATCATGGAACGGAGCTTTAACGACGCTCCACTTACTTCTGATACTGACTTTCGTTCTGGTGAAATTTTCTGTGAACAGCTCCGAGCCTGGGCACAGGATAAATTAGCTGATCAGGCTACTTGCATAAATGACATACTTCAGGATAAACTTGAGACAGTTGAAAAGTATCACTCTAGGTTGACTCAGACTTTCTCAGACTTAGGGTTCAGCACCTATAACAAAGCACACACCCAGATGCTATCTGCAGCTTTTGTGGCAGGCCTTAGGGAACACATTCGTAAGGGGTTAATTTTAGCTCGCCCAGAGTACAGAATTATTCCACTGGACACTCTTCTGCTGGTAGCCAAAGGCTTAGAATCTGTTCTGCAACCCACACAGCGCAGAACTAGTCCTCTGATGTACACTACCTCCACACCAATTGCCGGTTCTAACCAAGTTCCTCAGATACTCCCCCAGCAGTACACCCAGTTACCCCAAACACTGCCTGCACCAATTCCCTCTTCCCGGGACCGGACTATCACGACAATCCGGACCTGTTTTAACTGTAATCAGCCAGGTCACTTTAGAA